TAAATGATAAAAAGTACAACACCATTAATTCAACAAAAGAAAAGAAAAAATTTACTTCCTAATGTTAAAACAATGAATATAAAATGTAAAGATATCTGTGAACATTGGGGAATTATTTGGTTAAATTTTGAAAAATTAATAAGAAGTCATAATGAAAATTTATTAAAAAAAGTTCCATGGCATTATAACAATTTACAATTTAAAATGAAACACCAATCTATACATATATCTTCAATTAATATAAAATTATTTCCTGATTATTTAGATAAACAATTATATATAAGATACGATAATCCTAATTTACTTAAATTACATCCACAACAATTAATTGAAAAATATTGTATGAATCAATATTTAAAATCAATTCCAATGAAAAATTGTTTAAAAAATGAATATGAAAGAAAAACAAAAGTACCAGGATATTATATTTATAATTATGGAATTGTTGGTATTAATGAATCAAAATTTGAAGATATCGTTTATACAGCTCATATTCCTTGTATGATTTCTTTAATAGATCAACAATTTCCTATTATCTCAGTTACATTTACTATGTTAATTCCTTCTAATATTCATATATCAAACAATACATTTTTATGGGACATTTTTCTTGATAATTTAAATCTCCTTTTTTTTGAATTTCAATTAAAACATTTAGAAGAACATGGCAAAAATATTGAAAGTTATAAATTATTAAATGACTCATTAACTTCATTAATTAATCATTTTGATGAATATCTTCTAAGTGTTACTTCTAAACAAATTAAAAAGAAATTAATACTTCCTAATAATTTTCCATCAGAAGAATTTATACAAAAAATAATAACAAGTCATTTAACTTCATATTATACATTAATTGTTTCTGATAATTATCCTGAATCACAATTTGTTTATGATTTATGTTATCCATTAGATATACCTGATATATACAATCAACCATTATCTTCTCCTATTAATCCTAGAATATTATTTCAACCAAATCCTTTCTTTAGAACTATGTGTTTAACTAACTTCTCAGAAAATTTATATTTCTCTTTACCATTTCCTTTTTGTGTAATTGATCCATTAAAACAAACAATTGCTAGAAGTTCTACTCAATGTATTATTAAATATTTTATTCAACGTTTAAATTATTTCTTATTTAAAGCTTCTCAACGTCTTGGAATTACAAAATTTATTGCAACTATTCCAATTACTGAAATTCTTGTTTCAGTACCTTCAACTCCATTAATTGTTCCATTATCAAAAATTATATTATCAATTAGAACTGATAAAGAAGCTGATTATCTTCATACTTTAATGTTTAAAATGTGTGATATTCTTGCAATGAAAGCACATATTATATTTACAATGCTTAATTCAAAAGATATATATAATGATGGTCAACTTACTCTTCAAACTATTAATGAAATAAAAAAACAAACAGGATGTGATACTGAAGCATTAAAAATAATATTAGGAATTTTAAAATTTTCAGAGCCTTATGTCATTGGAGTAGTAATGGAATTAGTAGAAAAATTAATTTAAAATCAATGTATTTTTTTTATTTTAAATAATAAATTTATTTGATATATTCTTGTGTTTTTTTTATTCTTTTTAATTTATATTTATGACGTTTAGATATTAAATGAACGTTCCATTCTTTCTCTCCATTTAATATAATATCACATATCTCACAATAATATTTTTTCCATTGAATTAATTTTGTTTTTTCTTCTTCTTTAATTTCTTTTTCTTTAGTTATTGTATTAAATGAATTACAATTAGAATTTAATTGTTCATTAATTTGTTGAAAAATTAAGTCTAATTGAAGAATATCATTTTCATGATGAATAAAATGAATAATAGAAGACTTTTTTGTTTTTACTATTTTATTATTTATCCATCTTATTTGTTTCTTAATATATTGTTTTGTATGAATTTTAACATTCTCAATTGCAATTTCTATTGGTGTTCCTTTTAATTTACATTCAATAAACTCTTGAAATCCAATTGCCATACAAATTCCCCATTTCCATTCTAATTGTTTTAATTCCTCTTCATGTTCTTCAATAAATTTCATATTTTGTTCTACCATTCCTTGTTGAACCATTACATTTACTCTTTTATCTGCTCTTTGGTAAAGTAATTTAATATCAGCATCAACCCAAATAATTATTGGATTATATTTCATTTCAATATGTTCTTTAAGAAAAGTACTACTAATTGGTTGGTTATATTGAATATAATATATTAAAGCATTTTTAATTCTAGTAATATCATTTGGGTGTAATCTTTCTGCCATTATTGGATCAATTTCTTTTAATTTATTATACCATTCATCTTCTTTCCATGGAAGTATTTTTGACTCATTAACTTTAATTAAATCTTTAGATTGATGTCTAAAAAGTAACGCATCAATATAATATGAAGTTCCTCCACAAATTATTGGTATTTTATTCTTTAAACAAATTGTTTCAATTGCTTTATCTGCATCATTTACCCATTGTTGTACAGTATAATTCACTTCAGGAGAAACAAAATCAACAAGATGATAATGAAACTCTTGTTTTTCTTCTTCACTTGGTTTATTAGTTGCAATAGGAAGTCCTTTATAACATTGCATTACATCTGCATTAATTATTTCTCCATTTAACTTTTTACAAATTTGATGAGCAACAGTTGATTTTCCACTTGCCGTAGCACCAATAACAACAATGATTTGTTTTTTATCATTTCTGATAATAGGTTCATTCATTTAAACCAGTAAGACTAAATCATTATTTCTTTTTTCATTTTTTTTTATTTGTTATTAAAACTATTAATTATTAAATTATTAAATTATTATTATTTGATTGTTTTTCCATAATAATTATATAAATCATTTTTATTTGTTTTTATACTAATAGTTTATTATTTTATTGGAAGTTACAAGGTTTGGAGTAGGAGTTTGATAGTCTCATTTCAACTATTAAAAATTCCTGGGAAATTCCTCGAACCATTAGATAGAAAGTATCAATCCTAAGTGGATGAGGAATATGTTTAATTGTCCGGATGTTGATCTGTTTGGAGAATCCTATGTTCAATTAAACTATTCCTTCGTTGTAGGTACAGTAATCCAAACAACAATAACTTAATGAGGGTCACTCTGTGACTTCCATTTTTTAAATTTCTTAAATATTATTTTATTATAAACCTCTAATATAACAAAATTTTGTTTTTTTTAACATTTTTTAACGTTTCAGGGTTTTAGTGTGTCGAATATGGGGCGAGTTTGAGTCTGTTTATATTATGAGTCAAAAATGTCAGTATTAAAACTACAAAACAAAATTTCCACATTAATTTAATTATACGAATTAGTCAAAAGTGTCAATTTTTTTTCAAAGATTAATTAAAAAATATATTAAAAAACATAAAATAAAGTTCTATCTTTATTCACTTGAAAATCACTTGAAAATTAGCGAATCAAATTCAATAACAAGACTTAAAAATAGAAATAGTAACTCTTTTGAATCAGAAATAAATTTTTAAGAATGAATTTTTTCATCCATTGATGTTCCAGATTATAATCTCCGTTTTGTGTTACTTCAATGATGAGTTATGATGAAAAATTAGAGGTTAATGGTGTTTGGCCATCAAAATCAGCATTAAAAGCAGCAGTAATTGCTAATGGAGTAGCTAATCCTAATGATAGACGATATTGGAAAGTCATAAGAAGTTCTAAAGAATATCTTTCATTAACTTGTTGTTTTGCTGTTCAATGTAACTGTCCTGCTATTTTACGTGCTTCAAGAAGTTCAAAATTACCTGGTAGACCTTGGGTTGTTAGAGAAGTTTGTTTAAAACATGGAAATGGTTGCAAAGGAAAAACACCAAAAAAGTTTTTTGGAACAGATTTTATTAAATCAGTATTACCACCAGAATTACTTTTAGGAACATCAACTGAAGTTGCTAAATATCTAGAAGAAAAGAGTGGACTTTCTGTTGCTCGAAGAACTATTTCAAGACTTCAAAAAGGAAGTAAACCAAAAATAGAAAGGATAAGTCAAGTTGTAATGGAATTTCTAAGAAAAAATCCAGGATCTAGTGCTTCTATTCAAGGTCAAATGGTTAGAATTGTTTTTGGAGTTATTAAAAATGCATTACCATATCTTCAACATTCATTAATATCATCTGATATTTGTTTAAATAATGGATATCATATGGTCATTATTAGTGGTATGGATGGAGAAAGACAACCATTACCCTTATGTTTTGCTCTTGCTTTACAAAATATTGATGTATGGGAATTTGTTTATGAAGGACTACATGATGTTCTTGGAGATGGACAAGATTCAATAACAAAAACCATTTCTAATATTCATTTATCTAATGAATCTATTTATAAATTTGAGTTAAGTGATTCTGACACAACTATGACAAAAACACTTTGTAATATTATTAACACAATAAGTTCTTTATTTGAATCAAGAAGACGTCAAATACAATTTACAAATAGTAAATTGGTGAATTGGTTAAATAAAGATATTGAATGGAAAATAGAAGGTGCTTCTCAAATAGAATGTTATGGCGAATTTCCTATTTATTATACTAAAACTTCTGTTCCACTTTGTATTGATTTAAAAAAGAAAACATGTAGTTGTGGTGAATTTCAAAGAACAGGAACTCCATGTATTCATGCTGTATCTGTTATTCATCATTTACTTCATGAAGATTATGAACAATATGTTGATCCTTGTTATTTTGCATCTTCTTTAAAAAAAACTTATTTATTATCTGTTGTCCCAATTTCTTTCTCTGCTATAAAACAAAATGAAGAAAGAAAAAGAATTTGTGAAGAAAGTTCTGAAGATTTATTAACAAAAAGAAAAATACAATCACCAATTACTTTTTCAAATGAAGTAAATTTTAACTAAATCCCTCTTATAAATACAAAATATTAATACTGTATATTCTCATCCCTTTATTAGAAATAAAAAAAAATAACAATAAATTAAAGAAGAAAAAAAATTAATATTCATTTAAAATGACATGGAGAAATGTTGAATCATATTTGCATATTTCATTATTGTTGTAGATCCTTTTCTTAAGTTAGTTGCTAATGAAGAAAGTTTTTGAAGAATACAATTGAGACTAACTTCAATAGTGTCTAACTTGTTTAAATTATTTATTAAAACATCTTTTAATGTTAAGTCATTAGTTTTAACAATAAATATTTTAGGTTTTTGAGGATAAATAATTTCATCTCCAATAAAGGATATGTAATTATCCAACATTTCAATTGTTGGTTTATATTTGTCATATTCTTCATTTGATTTAATTGAACAAAGATTTTCCTTCATTAATGTTAATTTAGGTTGAATATTATTTTTAATAAATTCACTAATTTCTTCAATTTTATTTTCTTGTTTTTCTGGTTGATTAAATGTTTTGGAATAGTGTTCAAGTGTTAGTCTAAGATCATTTTCACTTTGAGATATACATGCTAATAACTTACCTCTCTTACTTCCTTCTTCTAAATTTCTTGGAGATGGAAGCACTTCCATTCTATCAACTCTGGGAGTAAATGCTCTTCTTGAAGGAGAGAACGAAGTATTTAATTGAACCAAATCTGGTGTTCTAGACATTTTACTTCTTGAAGAACGTTCAGAACGTTTAGGTGTTTTCTTAAATTGAGGTTTCCAAAATAAAGATTTATTATATTCCTCTAAATGTTCATCTACAAGAATACTAATTAATGCATTTTGACATTGAATAAGAATTGGTTGCATTTCTTGAACAGAATCACATTTCTTTAACAATCTATATGCAACATGATGTTTTGCTTTTAATTCAATAAAAGCCATTTCAGAACGAGATAGAATTTGTGAAATTGTCATTTTATCTTCAGGTGTAGTTTGAATATACTCAATGAATGATAATGTATTTTTAACATTTTCATTATTACTTTCCACATATTTAATAAAATTGTTTTGAATTGACCTTACTTTTGTAATTGCTTCTTTTGTTAATGTTTTTGATTTTTCAATCATACTATTTTGAGCCAATTGACAAAATTCTTGTAACCTTTTAACATCAGCTGAATTTGTTGCAAATCGTTGAATCTCTTTATCACTAATAATTCCCATTAATGTTGGTGCAGTGTATCCACATGTTACAAATTCATCAGTAAACCCAACTAAGTTATAAGGAATAAGATATTTTGCTACATCAACATATATTTCATCATTCATTGAACTCTTTAGTGCCATTTCTATATCTTTAGAAAGTAATTGTTTATCATCAAGAGCTGTAAGACGATGAGTTAAATCTTTAAAATATGATGATTGTTTAAATAAGTCAAAGAAGTCTTTACGTTCCATTAATTCAAAAATATCATTTTTTGCTTCATTAAACAAATTTTCATATTTTGCTTCTGCATAATTATTTGTTATATCTTTTTTTATTGCTTGACTTATTTGTAATTCTTTATTACTTCCTGTACAAATAAATGTTTCATATATATCTTTTGCAACCCATTCTTTTACATCTGGTGATGTAATATTATTATATAACATTGCTTGTCTAAAAAATTGAATATTTCTTTCTTCTCCAATATCTGTAAGACACTTTTCTAAATATAGACTACCAACTCTGTTTTCACATATGGATTTAAATGATGCTAATAATGTGTATGATTTATGAATAGAAAGACCATCTTGAACAGCATCATATAATAACTTTTTGAATGAACCAATTTTCTCTCCTGTTAAACCAATAACAAGTTTCATATACTTTTAAAAATAAGTTTCTGTATTATTATAAAAATACCATAAAAATATTATAAAAATATAATAATCAAAAACAAAATACAAACGAGAAGAATACATGGGTCTATAACATCAAATCTTTGTTCATAATAATCTTGATAATTATTACTCCTATAATGAGAAAATTTCTTAGATAAATCTTTGTAATATGTCTCACAACACTCAATTTCATTTTCAAGCATTGGTAATGACTTCATTGATAAGCCTTCTGTTGAATCAATAAATGACTTTACTTCAACTTGAATAATAGAACTTCCTGAAGAATACATTGTGGCTAGTTCATTATTGATCAACTGAATACAATTAATTGACTCTTTTAATTTTCCAACTAAGTTTTTCATTTCAGATAATATTGAAATAACACTTTTACGATGAGACTCACTTAATTGTTTATAATCACTAGTTATAGGTGTTTCGGTGTCAACTTTTAAGAGTCGAGATCCCTTTTCAAATACTTTTGGTAACATGACAGGATGGGTGATAGTTTTTTTATCATTTTTAGTTTTTTAAGACGAAAAGAATTTTATAGGAATTTTTTGTTTGAAAACTAGTAGATTTTTCTATTTTTTCCTACTTTCTATGATTTTTTTAAATTTGTCTTTTCATACTTTTAGATTTATTTATATTTTTCTGGTAAATAATCAACGACTCTAAACAAAATCTCAATAAAGAATAATTAATAAAACATAGTTTATTAAGTGTTAATAGATTTTTTATCTATTCTTCCTAGCTAAGAGGAGATTAATCCCACCCCTAAGCTGTTTTTTTTTAAAGAGTAATTTTTTTTTTAATCTATCTTTTAGGTTTTTCTTGGAAAATAATAAAATCATTTTTTTGTTTTATTTCTTCCTATTAAGATTTTCTCAATCTTTTTCTGTTTAATCCTTCTTTTTAATACTTTGTTTGATTTCTGCTTTAATTTTAAATATTCTCATTTCCTCATTTTTATTTTACATTATGAATGAGAGAATAGAGCATTTCATTACTACTATATTATTTTGACTAATTTTCTTTTAGTCTTAACCACATCTTAACAAATCGTTATATTACACCATATAATATTCTACCATAATAAATTACTGTACCCTTTACAACATTAACTAAATCATTTCTAATTCAAATACACCATCATAATCATATAATAAATATGAGAGTCAAAAAATGAAATGTAGTAGTGTTTGTGTGTAGTGTTTCATACGTGCCACATTTGATCTTGTTTTTTTTTTAAAAAGTTAAAAATAAAAAAGAAATAACGAATAATAATGTTTTATATTACAAGTTATAATAGAATTATTAATTTAGAATTTCAAGTTAATTTTTTTAGAAATAGAAACTAAAAATAATAAATAAAAAATGAATATTGCTTGGGAAGAACATGAAGCACGATTGAATGAAGGAGATATGAAACATCGTTCAGTTCTTAATGTTATATTATGGTCATTTGGGCAAATTCCTGTTGAAATGCCAAATGAATTTACAGTTTGTTTTAATAATAAAATTAATATATCAAATGATTAGAATGTTATTAAAAAAGAATATTTGAAAAGAGTGATTAAATACAATAGCATCGTATTAATATTATTTTCTTATTGTTACTTATTGAAGAAGGTGTTAATTATACTACAGCACTTGCAATTTTTTCAGCAGTTATTCTTGTATGCTCAATTCTTGGAGGAATTATTAATTTTGTTATTCTTTGCTTTGCTGTACGGTATGCATGGAAAAAACAAACTATTATTGTTATTGCAGCATTTTTCTTAATTTTTAATATTGCAGCATGTTGGATTTATCATTATTCAGCATTTGCTATTTTATTATTCTTTACAGCATGGTTACCACAAGCAGCAATAGCAATGCATGGGTCACAAATTCCATTTATTTCAACAACAGACTTACATCAATTTGCAGATCATTTATCAATTTTAATGTCAATGATAACAGGAAATCTTTATATTTATATTGCTCGTATATTACCTAATTTACAATATTTTAATTCTAACACTCAAGCCCTTGCTAAACTTGGATCTTCAGAAGTTGTTAAACCAACAGGAACAATTTATATTACTACAGGAATTTGTGTATTTGGACTTCTTTGTTTGATACCTTATTTGTTTTTACAAGAACATTCAACAAAACCACCAATTAAATCATTTAGATATAATTTTCTTTATATATTTAATGAATTTATTACAATTATTGGTGATATGCTTCATGAAAAGAATTTCCTTTTATTACTAGTTTGTATTGTTGGAATTCAATATGGACCGTTGTATGTTTCAATTCTCTTCTCTACTGTTCAATCAGATATTTTTCATACTTCAGAATTAAATCTTGAAATTAAAGAAAATATATTCTTCTATATGTATTTCATTTGTTTCTTTATTGTTCCTCCAATATTACATAAATGGGGTCCAAGACTTATGATGTTAATAATGCTTGGTGCAACAATAATAGAAACTACTTTACAAATGGTTGTAGTATTTTCTGAACCATTAAGTTATGTTGCATGTGTTTGTTGTGGATTTGTAAATGCTTCAATGAATGTAACTATTAGAAGATTTATTTATGAGAACTGTACATACGAAACTATTTCAATGCATTATGGTGTAGTTACAATTTTAATTAAAATTATGAACTCTGTTTCAGTATTATTATCTTTGATTTATTCATTCCAAGAAAATACTTACTATTTCATTAGATACTTTTTAGTTATTTGTATTTTCTTCATTCTGGCTTGTATTGGAATAATATGTGCTGTCTTTACAAAAGATCACCATAAAGAATATGTTTTAGGTTTACGTCCACCTTATCTTAGATACAAAATTATTGAAGAAAAAGATTAATTTAATCTTTTTAAAGTATCTTTTAATAATAAATTTAATTAATACTCTTGTTGTCTTTGTTTTGCATCATTAACTTTAAATTCAATGATGTATTTAGGTAAAATATGTTTTGGATCAAAAATAACAATCTCATTTCCTTTTGGGGAAAAATGAGAGTCATATCCTTTTTGACACTTCTTTCCATCCATTCTTTTCTTACACTTAAATACATTACCTGGTAATATTTGACATAAAACCATTTGATTAGAATTTCTGCTATTAGAATAAAATAGTGCATAATCACTGAAATATGTTAAATATATTCCATGTCCAAAATACCCTGAATCTAATTTTACTGTATCAACATCATCTGGTAACTTAAATCCTTCTTTAATTATTCCTTGAATAGAATCAATAGAAGAACCATGAAAAGCCCATTCTTCTTCTCCAAATCCACGCTTTGAAAGTATACTTTTTTCAGCAAAATACTGCATTTTTAATGCCTTATTAACAATAATTCCAATTTGGATAATAGTAAAATTACTTTGTGCCCCAGACATCGTTTGGAAAAATTTAGTGTGTACCTTAGCAAATACTGATTCACCTTCATCTCCAAATTCTTTACTTCCATTTTTAATCCAAATAATTCCAATTTCATTCTTTTGAGACATCTCTATTTCTTTACTAACATCATAATCCTTTACTGTTCTAAATCCATCTATATAATCTTCTTCAGTCCATCCTAATTGACCTAAAATGCTTGCGTGTTGATCAATATCTATTTTCATTGCATGTTGATATTTACGAATTAACCGTTTTTCTTCCCCACTAACTTTGTTTTCTTCTAATGCACAAACCAATAAGGTTTTATATGCATCAAATAATGTTATTTTATTTTGTGGTGATTCTTGTTTCATTATTGTTGCAATATTCGTGATTGAGTCTTGCAAAGACATATTATCAACATCAATTACAGTATCTTTCCCATGATAATATCTTTTGAAATGTAAAGGATTTGTTAATTTACAATTCTTCCCAAATTTACATATTGGAAGATCATCTTGTAATGGAACTGGTAATTTAATTTGTTTTGGTGATGAAGGAGGTGTTAGTAATGTATCTTTTGTTTTTATAGAATCACTACTATTGGTTATTTGACTTGCATTATCTAAGGTTTGACTTGAGGGATTATGCCTTTTCTTAGGTGGCATACAAATTTATAGTATCTTTCTTTTTCACAAAAAGTAGATAATATCATTTAATCAATTTTCTTTTTTTTCTAAATAAAAAAGTGAAAAGAGAAAAAACATGGAGGGTTAGTAAACCCTAAAATTAAAAGAATTGAAAAATGGCATTTTCTTTTATGAATTGACCAATTATAGGTAATAAAACACTATAGAATAACCAACAATAATAAAATGGCATTAATAAAAAATTGGTAGTGAAAAGAAAAAATCACAAATAGAAAGGAAAAGATAATCATCTCAGAAATCATAACCAAGATGGAAAACCAAATTAACGTAAATCCTACAGTAAGTGGAATTGAAGCTAGAAAAAGATTTTATGAATATAGTAGTCTTGATGCTGAACCTTATCAACCAAGAAGAGGATTTTTCTCTTCTCTTTACCAATTAATTTTTCATCCTATTAAGTTCTTCACCCCAACAGAGAAAAAAGTTGGAGAAGTAAAATTAGAAATTTATCAAAGAAATGATGGTGATGTATCTTTAAAACTAAAAGAAGATAATTCAAATAGAACAACCCATCAAGCTGTATTAACTGAAACAACTGACTATCAAAAAGAAATCAATCTTATAAATGATAATCTTAAATTATTATTACAAAATATTATAAAAAATACTTCAGTTGCACCAATTATTATTAAAACAGACAGTAGTATATTAAAAGAAAATACTATTCTTAAATTAGATGAAAAAAATAATTCTATAATTGTTGAAGAACCAACAGGAAAAGATTCTATTTTATGTACACCATCAAAAGTTCGTAATACTGTTGCGTAACTGATTGTTATTTTTGTGATTCAAAACAAAATTCTAAATGACTGGTTTTTTCTAAGTATTTATTTTTAATAAATAAAAAGAGTTAAAAAAGAAGAAGAATAAATGATTATAAACAATACGTAGAAATTAACTAATGTCAATCCTAGAACAATTGGTTCTAAGGTAATTTCTTTTTTGAATAAATTCAAGTTTTTCAATATCTTTTTCTGAAAGTTTAAGTTCTACATCAAAAGGTTTCTATTAAAGTTAGTATTTCATTAAATTCTTTTTAAGAATGTTTGTTAATAACAAACTTCTTTCATAAAATATTTTTGTGCATGAGAACGAACTTGAGTAGGTGTACGAGTTCCAACAAATGCAGAAATAAGAAAAGTGTTTATTCCTCTTGCTGTTGTATAGCCAAAATATTTTATTGCTTTTTCAAAAGCAATACATTCAACATCAGTCCAATATCTTTTTTGAGGAGGTGATTCTTCACAATTAATTTTAATTTTATTTTCATTAGATTGATCATTTTGACATTTAAATATATCTTGTGATGAGCCAATTTCTTCTCTGTTAATATTATTTTGATTCAAATTATATAATAAATATTTTTGATTCATATAGATATCTAAAGCCATTTCTTTAAACTCAGGACATAAAGGGGAAGGTAAATTATAAAATCCCTGATATTCCATTAAAGGAGTAAATTTTGGTTATTTAAGATAAAGTCGATTTTAAATATTTCATTCTTTTTTATAGTTATTATTACCATTTGTTATGAATCTCTTTTGTTATCTAAACATAAATTCTGAAGTAAACTAAATTCAAATGAAACTTCATCTTTAATAATTCTCTTTTGACTCAATTTATCTCATTTAATAAAACTTTTTAATAAGAGAATTGTTAAAATTCAATTCATCGTTTTGAACTTAACTAACAAGAAGAAGAAAATGAATTAAAGATCTTTATTTTTCATTATGCAATTAATTAAAATCATTCAATATTTTGGTATTTTTTTTTATTTTTCCTAAAATTTAACCTCCTTTTTTAAAAGATTCAACAAAATGAAATATTAATTTTTTATTTTAACTTTACTATTTATTATGATGTAATATCATCATAAAAATAAAAGAATTATTTCCATATCATTTATTTTATAATAAAAAAAAAAAATAAATATTAAAAAAAAAGTTTTAAGAAAGTTTATT